CTTTGTACCCTTACGCCCTTATTTTAGCTGGCTTTCATCGTATTTCCTCTTTCGGCGTCTGTAGGCATCATACCGTCACCTATAGCCGCCGTATCTTTGATGGGATATTGGCTCTGTTTAAGAATTATACGCGAATACCGATCGCTAACTACTGAAAAAATAGCTGTAGCTCAGCGTTTAGCTGCGCTAACAAAACAACTTTGGATTGGAATCGCTCCTGAGGTGTTCACGATGAAATCACATGTTAGTTTCGTGCCTGCCTGTCTAAAGCATGCTCGTACAAACTCGTATTCAGTGGTTTTTTTGATCACGCCCTGCGAGAAGAAATAGCATCAGTGGGAACAACATACCAGTGGTCATCTGCTCCCTTTGAGGGGCATCACGCACGTCTACAAGTCAGAGTCGATCAGTACATTAGAAATCGTCCTGCTGCTATGATTGATAGGTTTGAGGAAATGTTTCTGAGCTATATAAGGACTGCAGCTTATTACTCATGCTGTTATAGGTACTTGCTGTCAAAAAAGTTGCGGTTCAAGTTTGAGAAAAGATTCCATGCTAGCAGAAGGAGTGACATCTTGGAACTAAAGCGAAAGCTTGAGAACGCACAGTTCGATCGGTACTGCTTGAACCCTTGCATTCTTCCCTGATTTTCAATTTTTGAGGCTTCCCATGGGTATTCCTATTGACGACTCTGTGTACATACCCGCAAAAAGTCGCGTTCCACTTGAGGTGCTTCAAGATGAGCATAAACGATGGCTCATGCAAGAAAGCGAGGATGCCTAGTAAGCTAGCTGAATTCTAAATTGCGCTCACTAAAGCAAAGCGTTCCAGCTCGCGAGTCGTAATTAATGGCAAACCGTACAGCTCTAAAGAGTACTGGCGGCAGTCTCTTCACAGCAGACAGGACACGGTCTTCATCAAGGGAAATGAAGACGGAAGAGAGATGAAAGCATTTGCTTCTATTGTGCTGTTTGTGTATGATCGCGCAACCAAATCTTTGCGAGTTCTCTTAGAGGAGTACGAATTTTCTGATCCTTTCCAACATTTATATGAGGTCATCCAACATGCTGAGCATCCTCTACAAACTGTAGGTATAGAGCTGATGAATACTGTTCGCGAACATAACCTTTTCTTCTACGAATTGAAACAAAGCCTAACTCGAATTCGCCCTGCTTCTTTTATCCAGAGATCTTGCACTTATATGGAATATGCTGGTCGTAAATATGCCTCAATCACTGATTGATACTGCTCGAGAGTTGCTCCATTAAAGATCACAATTTTTGTGTTTTTGCTCTTATGTTAGTCGGTTAACATTTCCGGCTATCTCTTTTCGCACCTGAACGCCATACTCTTATCATGAATTTTGCAGCATCGGTCACCTTTTTCCATGAAGAAATCGGCGGTTAGGAGAAAACTCAAGGCTACGCCCGCACGCACAGTCTCGAGCGCTGCCTTGTCAAGTTCTTCTAGCACTATCCCGTCAAATTCTTCTAGTACCATCCAATCAAGTTCCTCGCTACCATCTATCCCAATCAGTACTCAACCGCCAAGCGCGGTCCCGCCAACTTTCACACTGTCACTTTGTTCAATCCCGCTAAGCGGCATCCCGTCAAGTTCATCTGAAAATTCACTGCTCCCTTCACCACTAACCCCAAGTACCTCGCAATCGCCACCGCAAGAGTCTCATTGTCAGTCCCCTCAAACTTACCACGGACTACAGCCGCTAGTGTAAGTCCTTTTTGGCTTCGGTGGCTAATGTAAGGCGGTTGTTTAGAGAAGAGACCTACGATGAACCTGACCGCGTTTGGATCGTAGATTCGCAAGAAGAAGTCTCGGGTAGCACTTAATATATCTCAAAGTTCATCTTGATCGCAAACATGTTCTATCAGGTGACTCCACTCTTACGTCCCACCAGCCTGTGGGTGA